TGTTTAATTAATAACTAAATAACACATGAGGTTAAAGAATGGATTTGGATTGGTGAAGGTTACTTGAAGTTATTTAGTTATGCGTTTATATGATTATTTAGTAACTGAATATTTGTCATGTTGATGAATTTGGATTCATGAATATGCTTAAGGATATTTGGTTATAATTTCATGTCAATAGATGCTTAATGATGGTTTGTTTATGTTTATGTGAGGTCATGCATTTAGATTGCATCCACGTCATGAAAATATTTCTATCATGATTTCAATGTATATAAAGAGAACGAAATCTACATATTTTCAAGGAAACAACTAGAATGAATAACTCTTTGTGAGCATCATAAGCTCCACATGGGACATGTCTAGTGTTTTTCATGATTTTTTACATAACCGGTTTTCATGGAGGGCCGAATGCATATACATCGGATAGGGTGCACTCGAATCATAAAAAAATGAATTTCAATATCATGAAAATAAATTTCTTTGCATTCACGCATCATTACACTTAGTGAGCATTAGCTCATAGTTTGTCTTGTGGTGTGTAGGTTAAATGATACATGAAGATATGTGTGGCATTGAGAATGTCGCTTGGAGTAAGCCGAGTTTGCCAAAGTGTGTGCTATAGGTATAAGTTTAGAGTTTAAAGACCAAATTATGTATAAACATCATTTATGGTTTATATAATAGGGTAATTTATTTCTTTCGTTGTGCATCATACGAAGTAGAGAACATGAGGCTTCGTTTCACATTCATTATACTAAGAGCGTAAGGTTGTCGATAGCGTTCTTGGCTTTCCTTTAGGTCGGGAGTGTTACATTATTAGCATTATATGGTTCTACTCTAACAAGAAGACATTGGAATGAAATTAAATATATACTATGTTATCTCCGAAAATAATTGATATGAGCTTATTTTACTTTAATAAATCAAAGAGATTATTAATTGATTATAAATATATAAGTTATTTATCCGATCCACGTAAAACTCGATCACAAACTAGTTATGTACTAACGGTGCGAGGTTGTCGGTAGCGTTCTTGGCTTTCCTTTAGGCCGAGAGTGTTACATTATTAGCATGATATGGTTCTACTCTCACAAAGAGACATTGGAATGAAATTAAATATATATTATGTTATCTCCGACAAACAATTGATATTAGCTTATTTTACTTCAATAAATAAAAAGCATGATTAATTGATTATACAAATGTAAGTTATTTATCCGATCCATGTAAATCTCGTTCACAAATTAGTTATGTATTTACATATGATGATACAACTATATCATGACATTTTATGAAGCAAATATAGTCGTCACATCTTCAAACCAAGCAGAAATACTAGTACTTTATGAAGCAAGTTGAGAATGTGTTTGGTTAAGATCAATAACCCATCATATTTGAGAAACATGCGGTTTATCCACTAGCAATTAAGTTATAACAATATTTTATAAAGATAATACTACTTACATAGCTCAATTAAAAGAAAGATATATCAAAGGTGACGAGAATGAAACATAAATCACCAAAATTATTTTTCACACATGATCTTCAACGGAATGGTGATATTAATGTTTAACAAATTCGACTAAGTGACAATCCGGCAAATTTGTTCACTAAGGCATTACCTATCACAAACATTTTAAAAGATGATTCATAAGATTATAATGCGTTGCCTTAGAGATCTTAAATAATATTTTCAATAGGAGGAGCCCAATATGAAGATTAATGTGTAAAAGAAATATTGTATTATTTTTCATTCACTATATATTTTTTTTCCATTGTGTTTTTTTCTTGTAAGGTTTTAATGAAATATGTTTCTTGTACAATGGACATTTAAGGGGAGTGTTATGAAATAATAAATGTCCATATAAATGTTCATATGCTTTTCATATCTCCACTACTCATAATTCTTAATATGATTCAATTCACCATTAAATATGAGAAATTAAAAGGATGATGAAATTGATTCAATAATTTATGTATTTTTAATTATTCATAGCCCCTTTTAATTCTCTTTCTAATTTTAAAACCTATAAATAAGCTTGATTGTTCATTAGTTTGTGTAAACGTATTTTTTAGAGATTGAGAGAATTGTTTGGAGTTGTTGTCTCTTATGTTTATCTTATTTCACAATGAAATTCATTCTTCTATCATCTTTCTCTTCAATTTTATTATCGTTATCATTTTTTTTTTTTTATAACATGCATCTATTAGAATGTTTGCACCTATTAAGATGGGATAAATGGACATTGGGCGGTGTAATCACATCTCATAATTATTCTTTGTCCAATATTTAAAAAAAAAATCACTAATTGAAAAAATAAAAGCCCAATTTTATATCATTAAAATTTCAGGTTTAAAGCAACGTGACATTATTATAAATTATTGTTATAATTCATATTTTGAATTTCAAATGTCAACTTAAATTTTTAGATTGAAATGATTTTTTGAGATCGTAAGAGAATTTTTTTTTTAACTAAATAGATATAAGCTCAAATTTCTACTTATAATTGTATATGTTGAAATAGATGTTTGACATTTATGACGTATCCATACGTTCAAAAATAAAAAATAAAAATGTATTATTAGGTTGTCCTTTACCTCATTTAATTAATTATGAAACATTCTTGTTATTTATTGGAGAATATATATTCTCATATATCTTTATATAATAAGCTAAATTTTCAATCTGTTATTAAATTTATAAAAACATTTTCACTTTGTTTATGTTATTTGAATGTTTGTATTCTATTTTTTGAGTTAAAATTTCTGATTAAATTAAATATCTGATTTGATAAAGTTATCTTTTATTATTTGACATAAATAATCAATAACTACTAATATAAAGATTATTTTTTAAAGATTTTCTTCAGCAAGTTTTACTTAGTTTATAACATATTAAACAAACAGCTTGAAAACAATGATATCCAACTTCATATTTGGATTTTGGACATGCATCGATGGTTGACTTATTATAATAGTAGGCAACTAGAAATAAAATAAAATAGTATAAAGTTAAGAAGTCAGAGGCATGGGCTTCAAGAACCATGACTATCCTCTGTTTTGGCCCGGCTACTACTTTGATTAGAGAACCAAATACAGCAAACCCCAGGTACTGTATTATTGTTTTTTTTTTTTTTCCCCTTTGACAATTTAATTTGGAGGAGTTGAGACTTTCTTTAGTCGTATATCAATGAACCAACTAATTGCATTGGAAGACCAAACTGGGCCAAACATTTTTTTGAACTTTGAGAAAGGTTTATAATTATGTTCAGACTATAAATAAACCACTGGTGTTACGTACTTCAGTTTTCCAATGAGAAGAGCTCGAATTTAATTCCTTCAACCCAAATTTTTAGAGAAGCCAAGTTTATATTTTGTTGATATTTGGAAAAAGAGCATGACTAAATTAACTTACATGAATTAGAGAATTTTGAAGTCAGGGAAAAAATAGATATCCGTTTTATCTTGTTTAATAAATATATATTAAAAATATATAATCAATATCGAAGTGAGTAAAAGTAAATAAATACTTAGGGTAAAAAATATTTATCCATTAATATAATTTTAGAATATAGATATTTATTTTTTACTCTATTAATACCCACTAATTTATTTTTATATTTTTATTAACATATAGGGATTTAATTCCATAAACTTTAAAATTTAAGAATCAAAATATTTTTTTAAATTTTGAGTACCAATAAAACTTATAAATAAATGATCAAAATGAAAAAAAAATATTTAAGGACCAAAAAACTTTTTTTGAAAATTATAGAAACTAAAATGAATAGTTTTTATAAATTATTTTTAGCGGATATTTAATGGATATTAAATGAATGGGTAAACTAATATGGATTGGGTATGAACTCAGTACAAATCATATGATGATTTTTTAATAATAAATGAGTAAAATTTTTATTTTATTTTATTTTTTTATGAATAGGATAACAAATTGAATTAATAGAGTAGATATTTGTTCATTGTCATCTAGAACCACATCCCCAGTTAGCTAGATCAATAAGTCAATCCCCATTATTTTTTATTTTTCTATTTTGATTAAATATTAGCATTAGATTATGCAATTGGTGATACATGTATATATCCTCGCAAAGGAAAAATATATGCTGGATAAAACACGAATAGAAAGAAGGACATCTGCTGTAATTTAATTCAATGCTTTACTGATTTATTTTATTTTTTTATTCATAGAAAATTTTCTTGATGCTAACCACAAAGGCTAGTTAAGGATTGTAAAAAGTACTTGTGAGGAAATCCCCAATTTCCCTGGCCCAGAAGACTTGGGGTGACCAAATCATAGCCGAGTAGGCCTACACGGTGTATGGGCCGCAATCTCGTAGAACATCGTTACTCTTTCCCTTGGGTTTCAAAAAATGTTGGGTATGATTGATTTATTGATACCAAAACTAGAACCTTTGGTTGAGTAACTGAGAACTCCAAAACTACTGGACCGAGGAGCACTGCTTGTTTTAATATTATATCATCATTTGATACTTTCTCCTATGACTCAAATCACCCCTTCCTCATCCTGATTTAAATGTAGATTATCTAATCCATTTTTTTTTTTTTTTTTTATGTTCAAACATATCATTGGGTCCACTTTTGCATAAAGAAACTAAATTTTGTCTTTTAATTAATATAATAAAAAATACACTATCCACGTCAAAATTAAAGAATTCATACAGATTTTAATGATACGAGGTAAACTAACCAAAGTTTGGCAAGTGAATGAATAAGCAATAGATTTGTAGCTTAATGGAAAAACAAGCTTGCTCTTGATTGCCAAAAAAAATAAAATAAAATTAAGAACTGATGTACAAAACTCATATTACAACTTTAGGCATTGAAGTCCTCCCTATGGATGTTACGTACATAGCTCCAGAGGGAACTTACTTGAAAAATAAGTAATTCCAACAAAATGGACTGTATTCCTTTGACAAATTTTGTAAAGAAAACTTATGGCATGAAATTGAGAGGAACTAGAGGAAAGCGCATGTTCTTTGCTTTCGGGGTTTCTTCTTTGGTTTTGGTGGCCGCAAAGCAACCTTTATTGCAGCATCAAACACTGTCTTCACATTCTGAAAAGCAAAGATCAAGAAAGAATTACACTTCCAACACTTAATGAGTTTTTTTTTTTTTTTTCATATCAAACTGCAAATAGAATTGAATTAAGTTAATGGTCACCTCATTTGATTGACCTTGTTTCGTTTTGTTAAGCAGTTCTTAAATCACAATTTTTTGTTCATTTATAAGTATATACAAACATGATGTTTTATGGCACAGCTTTGAATTGAATTTACTATAAATTTAAGCATATCCACCTGTTGTGTTTTGGAACTGCACTCTATGTAAATTACAGCACCGATCATTTTCTTCAATTCTTCACCCTGCTCATCATCAATCTCGTATTTTAGGAACTCAACAATACGTATGTTAATGTAATTTTATTACTTTTACGTTGGATGACATGCCTGAGCTGTTGTTATTGGTGCTGCGCCAGGATGATCTACCAAGTATTGCTTGTCTTCTCGCAAATCTGCAAGTAAGCGGACGGGCAAAATCAGATGTGACGGAAACATTGTGAAACATCAGTAAGAAACAAGTGACTGGGGAAACAACAAATACAGACAGAGAAGCAACACAGGATTGCATTTTCTTGAATCTTTCGAACATATATGGAGATGAATTGTCATTTTCTACCAAATTGTTTATTTATGATAATATATATTGCTCACCAAGCTTGGTTCCTACAAGGATTATTGGCACATTTGGAGCATAATGTCTTAGCTCAGGGATCCACTGTTTAGAGATGAACACAACACAATATATGTCAAGGTTCTATTAATTTGAAGATGTTAAACTGAGAAAAAAAATTATAAACAAAATGTGAAGAAAAAGATTTTAGACCAGAAAGGAAATAACCTTTTTATAAATGTTCTCATAACTGGCCTTGCTGATAAGGGAGAAGGCCAGTAAAAACACATCAGCTCCTCTGTAGCTCAGTGGCCTTAGCCTGTTGTAATCTTCTTGCCCTGCAAAATGCATAAATTCATCAGCCACTGTATTCAAAAGGTGAAAACTTGAGAAACCTCAATGGCATTTTTAACACAATTTAAGCCAAGTCTAGCCAAAAACTAGTTCGGATTGGCTATACGAATCCCATTTCCCATCTAACTCTGCTATGTATGGACTAATCTAATTTTAGAACTTGACCTTTACCAAAAAAAAAAAAAAAAAAGACTTGAGCAAATTAAATGAACTTACCTGCGGTGTCCCATAATCCAATATTCACTGTACTACCATCTACCACCACATTAGCACTGAAGTTGTCGAACACTGTAGGAACATAGTCCTATCCAAAACAAGGAAACAAGGTAATTAATTTCATGCCTAATATTGAAATAATCCATTGCAAGAAAAGTTGAAAAAGCTACCGTTGGAAAGGTGTTGCTAGTGTAGGAAATTAGCATGCATGTCTTTCCTACAGCCCCATCTCCTACAGTCACACACTTGATAAATCTTGCTGTACTCATTTTCTTGATCCTGAAGCCAAGCAGCTACTACTCTTCCATTTCTCTGCACTCATACATATATAACAAAACATAATAAGAAAAGAAGTGGCTTAAGTACGAATATTTGAAGGGAGATCAGGCTGGCTTAAACAACCTATGAGCCTAACATCACCCACTAGCTAGTGCAGTAACTCATCCAATTTAGAATGATTGCTCAAGGCTTTTCTTTTCTTTAAGTGCAAGGCCAGAGCTAAGATGTGGGTAACAAATTAAGTAGGTTTGGTGGTGGTTGTTGGTTTAAGTGTTAGAGAAGGGAGGCAACCAATGATAATGAAATGGAAAGAATTGCTTGATTAACTAATGCAACAACGATGGTAATTAATGGGAAATAAAAGAAAGAATTAGCTAAAAGAAGGTCAAAAGTTGTAACCTAAAGGCATTTATGGTTGTCACCATCATTATTGGTGGTCTATCCATATCAGAGCTTAGATCAGATTAGCTCGCCTGACCCCACGGATCTTCTAAGCTAAGGCCTAAAATACAAAAACGAAGAGTTTTAGGTTACTTGTCTAGTCTCCACCTTACTCTTTTTTATAAAGTCTATAGAACTGAAAACAACAATTGACGGGCCAAAAAGTCCAGACATTAAGGGCTCTGGAGTTAACTGCGTGGGCTGCTGCTGTATAAAAATGAACTGCTAAATGTTTTGTTTTGTTTTTGAATATGAATTCAGATGCTGAAGCAAAAGCTTGTTAAAAAAAAAGTGTTAATGTGCACGAGAGTTCCAAATTTAAGGTGGCTTCTTGAGTTTCTAGTTTTAAAAAAATAAAGACGATGCCTTTTGTAAGAAAATGAATATTTAAAACATCTGGTTCAATAAACTGCGACCCAATTTTATGCTTTAAATATTCTGTATGCAATATTCAAAAAATTCTGAGATATTTCCAAAGCTGTATTGATTCTCATCTGGAAAAGGCATTTCAAAAACCCATGCCATTAGATTTCTCCAAACACACATGAGGAACTGACCCAAGGTTAATCCTTACACTCACTAATCTAACACTTGTTGCATTGGCTGAAAACAGGCACTTTTTACTGTTGTGTGTAAGATATAAAGAGAAATCAGCATCAAAATTTAACCTTTTTTTGGAAAATCGAAACCTGCTTGCCATAATCAGTATGATATACCTTTACTAACCATGCAACCCAATGCCTGAAGCATTCAGTGTATTTCTTAGTTGAATAACGTGGGAAAGGTGTTGATTCCATTAAGAAAGGTATTATATTCATTGACAAATTAAAGGATACAAAGCCAGTAGGCATCAGAATCCAAGGAAAAGAAAAACCTGCTAGCATCTTACAAACAACCGGAAGGTGAAAGCAGGGGACCTCATACACTAAACCTGTAATTCACTTTTAGTTAAGAGTGAACACTATTTGGTTTAAATTAGAGAAATCGAATTTAATCAAATCTAAATATTAATTTTGGTTCGGTTCTCAATTTTTTTTTAAAAATAAATGAACTGAAAAACCAAAATTATTTTGGTTTAGTTTGGTTTTTGAACATTTTGATTCGGTTTAAATCGAAAATCTTTTTTGTTTTGAAATACAAAACCAAAAAACTCTCATTTACCCGAAGTCCTTGAGACAAAGCCACTTATCTCTTCCACCACACCCCACCCTGCCTCAGCACAGCCCTCAACTCGTCCAGACTCTCTCTTCCTCTTCCCTTCCTCCTCACCACCCATCAAAATTACTAACCGTTAGATTATTATTAGCCTCAGGATACGTATTCTAATATATCTTAATTTCTAGTTTTCAATGAGACAGTAAGACGCATAACTCACTAAACTTTGTCTCAAAGTCTTGCAAGAGAAACAAGAGTTAAAAAGGTAAGTTTTCTTTTCGCTTAAATTTTCATCTTATTTTTAATAATAATCTATTGTTTTTTATCCTGCAAAGAGTAATTAGGGAAGTAAATTTGCTTTGAATTGTTGACGTTTTTAGAAAGTGAAAGAATTAAAGTCAAACTTGGTGTAAAAGAAATAAAGATTGAATCTTTAGGCCAAGAATGTACTTAAAATGAAGCAAAATGTTTGATTTTGATATCCTTTATAGGATAAGTTCCTATAATTCTGTTTTAGATTGTTTTTGGCCGAGAAAGTGAGCGAGAGAGTTTGAAAAAGAAAATTTTAGGTGTTAAATTATGTGTTATGATGATGCTTTGATTTTCAAGAAAATGGGAAAACTTTGTGTCAGCTGTTACTATAATGATTCTTGAAAAGAAAAAGCTTTTTTTAAAAAAAAATTGAAAATTTTTTACTTGGAAAAGAAAGTTAAAAAAGAGCCTATTTATTTATTTGATTAGTTGTTGGCAAAAGTGAGATTGAGATATTACAAGAAATAAAATAAATGAATGACTTCGGAAATAAAAGACAGAAAATAAAATGGTAAAAACAAATAAAGATAATGAATTTACAAGAATTAAATTTATGGTCTAACTCTAGTGATCCCTATTGGAGTCGTCATTCCGTCACTATCCAATGTCGATGGGACTTTCAAAAAATTCTAAGTTTTAGAGATGTGAGTTATTATTTAACTGCGAGTCGCCGCCTAATATTAAAGAACCGGGAATCTAAAAATAGCACCGATGTAGAAATTTTCATGTAAGGAGTTGGTTATGCTTTGAAAAGATATCGATCATCCAAAGATGTCTTTTCTTAGAAAAGGTACTACGCCTAATTTAGTCATAAATTCATCTCCTTAATTATTTTTATTAGTGCCAAGTTATTTTTTATTTAAACTCTAATTTCCATGTTGAATTAAGTTTTTTAGTTTTGGACGTGGCATCGTATTGAAACAATCGTCGCCCCCTTTCGTAGGGCGACACGTCGGTTAAAACATCGGATCTACTTTAAACATCGATACAACCGAGTGTGTTAAAGAACATCCTAATTAATAAATATTGATGATGTATATTTTTTAAATAACAATAATCTCTATCAAATAGGAGACTTTGTTAGGAAAATTTATTATTATTATTATTTTGTTAACGACAATTCCTATTAGATAGGAGATTTCTTTAAGAACCTTTTATTATTTTTTGACAACGATAGTCCCTATTAGATGGAATACTTCATTAAGAATTTTTGTTAATTAATTTTGATCAACGACAATCTCTATCAAATAGGAGACTTCGTTGAGATTTTTAATTAATTAATTTTTAGTATTTTTTTATTATTTGTTGATAAAAAAAATTATTATCGATCCCTAAAAATTAGGACACTCAACAATTCTTTTATTAAATAATTATCTAACCTAAGTACTAAAATAAATTCTAAAATTTAAGGTTAATTAAATAAATTCCAAAGAAAAAAATTAAATCTAAATTAATGCAAAAAATAAAAATACAAAGAAAAACCAAAATATTCGGACTTAAGTAAAAAATAAAATAAAACATTAAAATAAATCTTAATGGGCTTGGACTACCTTTTTTTTCTTTTTTTTTCTTTTCTTTTTTTCTACTAGACTAATTCCAGTTCCTATTTCTATAGTATATATTTATTTTATTTTATTTACTATTATTATTATTTTTGGGTAGAAGTCGTATAGAAACCAGCTTCTACCTAATTTTTTTTAAGCTAGGCCATCAATAGGGATTGAGCTTAGCCCAACCCACACTCTTTTTCGAAAGGGTCTGGACTAGGTCTACAAACAAGGCCTATAATTTTTTCCTTCCAATTTTGGATTAAAAAAAAGTTTCGGGCACTCTCTCTCTCTCTCTTTCTCTCTCCAGCTTTTTGTTTTTCTTTTTGTTCTTCATTTTCTCTCTCTTCCTCATATTCCTCATAGAAAGTCAATGATAATTTCTACATTAAAGACTACTCGATAAACTATTTTTATCCCTTCATGTCAACAAATTAACATCTAATGCTTAGATAATGAGAAGCTTAAACTAAAGGAAGTCAAGAATGAAAATTGGAAAAAGAAAACAAAACGGACATGAATTACTTGAAGAAGATGACTCGTGATTTTGCGAGTAATTGGGTGGATGAGTCAAGATGATTTTTGGATGATGAAGGAATTCACGATTGGTATTTGTTGCTTGAACAATGCCTAGAATCCCGAAATAGAACCCAAAAAACACTACGGATGAAGAACAAGAAACCTAGAATGAAGAACACTAAGAACGAGTTGCCCGGAAAATGCAACAACCCGGGAACCCCAAATGCTAAAATCTCATGATTTTCAACCCTTTACTCTCGATTTATCTCTCTCCACCTAAAAAATCAAAATCTTAATCAAAATAGAAACAAACCCTCTTTAATTGCCCTAGAAAATGAAGAACGTGAACCCGTAAATTGATTAACACCAACCCCTATCTAGAAATTTCTCAAAAAATGCCGGAACCAAAAACTCTAAAAAACCCCCTCAAATTTTACTCTTTTTCTCGATTTTCACTCTCTCTCAACCCGAATTCTTCTCCTTTTCTTGCTACCCTTTTTTCCTAAACAAAAAAAACTTTTTATAGGTTGGAAATTGCTCAATTCTCTCCAAAATCAATTTAGTCAAATCTGGATTCTAGCCGCTAAAGCTGAAGTTTAGCCTTTGATCAACCAAATCAATTCGTTGAGGCATGATTCTTGATCGTTATCAATTCCACTTAAGAATTACGATGAATGCAATTCAAAAAAAAACTTAGGGGAAGATTTGTCTCTTAGGAAAGACCGAGGAGCAATCCCAAGAGAGATTCTAGGTCGGAGGGGACGACAGAGTCATTTGCTTGATTTTAGTCTTATCGTTCCCTCTAAAATTCCAATTTGGTCCCTATGAATTTCAATTGTCCTCAATCGTGCCCTTTTTCATGTAATTTCAGTATTTGTAAAGTATAATTTTTATCAAATGGGTTCTTATAGAGTATAATTTAAGTTTTGAATTTCTCAATTAATTCAATTTTGCCCCTAAATACTTCAATTATACTTTCTTTTTATGCGATTATGTCCCTAGATATGATTCTTGAA